ACACATAACTAAGTATAATTGGAAAATCTTTTTAGAATGGTAGAATATAGATTTTATTTTCTAAAGCATGTTCATGCCAGAGCAATGTACAATAAATAAAATTAAAGACAGGCTACTGTATATCCACAGGTTTACAATGTAATGGACAAAGTGAGGGAGGCATAGAGAGAGAATGGGCTTGGTAAAAGGAGACTGGATGGGAATAAAGTAAGCCTGAATAAAATCAAGTATGTACTAAAGGGTTGTTAAAAACTGAAATAGATTGAGATCTTTTTAATGCCAGTAATAGAAACTGGCAAGCCATATACAAAGTCCATAGAGTAGAGATTGCAGACGTGACACATTTTTATTAAGACCATAAACCTTAAGGAAAAGATTCTCTGGTAGTTATGACATAAGAGCAGGGGCAGCTCAACCCATTACGCAAAGTAAGCATTTGCAGTATAGTTGATATTGCCCAGGGGTGCTCTTGAGGGGCTCTTGGGGGAAAATAGACCTTGACATATGCAAGTTGTAGTTACTGGGATGTATAGTTCACCTACAATCAAAGAGCATTCTGAACTCCACCAATGATGGAATTGAACCAAATATGGCACACAGAACTCCCACGACGAACAGAAAATATATATCAGTGATTGGTTGGGGGGGCGCCAAAATACTGTTTGCTTACCGTTGAAAATTACCTAGGGCCACCTCTGCATAGGAGTGTGAAGTGTGAAACGAGAATGTACGAATTGCTGCAGTGAGCAAAATCAAGCCAGAATAAAAAAAAAACCCTGATGTCCTCGGCTTCCAGATGGTCAAACATTAGATGATACCACTTTGATGGCCGAAAGCAAGGTGGAGCTGAGGAGCCTTCTAACTAAGGTGAAAGAAGAAAGTGAAAAAGCTGGGTTGCAGTTAAACATAAAAAAACCAAGATTCTGGCAACCAAACTGAATGATAACTGGCAAAGAGGGAAAAAACGTGGAGGCAGTGACAGACTTTGTATTTCTAGGCGTAAAGATTACTGCAGATGCAGACTGAAGCCAGGAAATCAGAAGATGTTACTTCTTGGAAGGAGAGCAATGACCAATCTTGATAAAATAGTGAAGAGTAGAGACATCACACTGGCAACGAAGATCCGCATAGTCAAAACAATGGTATTCCCCATAGTAACCTACGGATGTGAGAGCTGGACCATAAGGAAGACTGAGCGAAGGAAGGTAGATGCTTTTGAACTGTGGTGTTGTAGGAAAATTCTGAGAGTGCCTTGGACACCGAGAAGATCCAACAACCAGTCTGGGAACAACCAGTCCATACTTCAGGAAATAAAGCCCGACTGCTCATTGGAGGGAAGGATAGTAGAGGCAAAGATAAAGTACTTTGGCCACATCATAAAAAGACAGGAAAGCTTAGAGAAGACAATTATGCCTGGGAAAATGGAAGGAAAAAGGAAGAGGGGCCGACCAACGGGAAGATGGATGGATGATATCCTTGAAGTGATTGGCTTGAATCTGATGGAGCTGGGGGTGGTGACGGCCAACAGGGAGCTCTGACGTGAGCTGATCCATGAGGTCACGAAGAGTTGGAAGCGACTGAATGAATAAACAAGAACAAACACTAGGAGGCACAAAACAACAGCTTTGTAGTGAAAAGTTTAGTTCCCTACTGGTTTATTCAAAACCTTGGGGTGCTTTAGATAAATTACATTAAGAAAACTGGAAGAGAATTGAAATCAAGGGAGGGGTGTAATAATTGCACTCTTATATCAATGGTTCTTAACCTTTCCTGCATCAAGACCTGTTTTAAAAATCTTTGTTGCCACAGACTATCAGGACTTAACTCAATATTTCAGACCCTAAAGTGCATCAGATACTGTTTTATTTTATTACATATCTACTGTATTTTAATTTTGTTTTTACCATACTGCTACTATTTAATTACTTTTTAATAACTTTTGTATTGCACCTTTTAAACTTGCCTAGTATGGAGTGTTAACCGCCTTGAATCCCCACGGGGAGAAGGCGGGGTATAAATAAACATAATAAATAAATACATAAATTTAAAGTTGTTCATCAATTCTCCACACATTTGGAGAGGAGTGAGAAAACACTAAATGCACATATTCCTATTACAGTAGGGTCTTGCTCATTCAACATAATAGGCCAGCAGAATGTTGGATAAACGAAAATATTGGATAATAAGGAGGGATTAAGGAAAAGCCTATTAAACATAAAATTAGGTTATGATTTTACAAATTAAGCACCAAAACATCATGTTTACAACAAATTTACAGAAAAAGCAGTTCTATACATGGTAATGTTATGTAGTAATTATTGTATTTACAAATCTAGCACCAAAACATCGCAATGCTTTGAAACAGCTGTGGATCCGGGTGGGAGGCAGACTGCATTGGATAATACAAAATGTTGGATGAGCAAAGGTTGGATAAGCGAGACTCTACTGTATAATATTTGACTGGAACAATTCCATACAATAACAATAACACTACCTTAACACTGATCAATGACCTGATATTACTTGTTAATTTTAATTAATAAATGAGAAGGCTTGTGCTGCATTTCACTATCAATCCTATTTTTATTGGTCGTAGCAGGTGAAGTTTGTATTCTGAGTTCTGACTCTACAGTTTTAAAAAGTTTCTATACTTAACTTTTATAATAAGTGAGAGTAGAGCACACTTTTTCAGACAAGTATGTCATTAGAAAAGTCACCAATACTTTTATTGCCCTCTTTAATAGTTCCAGAGAATCTGCTCAGAAGTAAGCCCAGAAATTTGGAAGAGACTATTCCCTGAACTGCAATTTCAGAGCATTATCCATGCTGTGAGCCCTTCTAGTTCATAAATATCAACTTAAATTAAATCTCTAAATTTGATGAAACTATGTTGCAAATATTTCAAACAGTGTTGTATAAATAATGTGTTCTCTGTTGGAACCATGAACATTTGTGAAATTTGGAAATGTCTCATTGTTTTGGTTCAAAGGAAAGGATGCCACAATTCTAATCTTTCTATCATTGCTTCAATCTGTTTTCATCTTGGAAAAACTAAATTTTTATCTTTGAAAAATTGAGCATATTTGAATAGGTGAAGATATCTGACAGATGTGCTGAATGTACTTATCAGGAAAATTTGTCAATTGACCACTGAGGTATTTACTGTTCCAATAGCCTTATCTCATGTCTCAATTTCTAAAAATAGGATAGCCAACCAATTTCACATTGTAGTGAAAGTTGATGGTGCTCAGTCTTGAATTCAGAGATTTGCATTTTATAAAATTGACCAAGTTTGACTGATTCACTTAAGGCCTGCTTTAGTTTTTCCTGTATTTTCTGAGCAACTAGAGCTTCTCTGCAAATGCAGTGATAGTTTCAAGTTGCCAACAGTACAATATCATTAATCCAAACTACAAGCCTAATAAGCTTTCCAAGCATTGCTTGTGTACTATCTGTGCTCATTCCAATGCATTTTAACCAATTTATGAGATAAGATCATTTAAGCTGTTAAATTACTCTTCAGCTGTATGCATACAAAATGAGGATATGCACAGCAAGTTTTTAAAAATATGTATTTCCTGCTTATATCAAACATAGAACTTTGTGTGCTATGTCTGAGCTTTCATTCAATTGGAAAGGAAAATTGGGAGACATGTGAATTCTTTGTAATAGCTCTTTCTTGATATTGGCTGGTAACTGTTGATCACTTCTTAACTATGTCATTTGACAATGGTATGCAGGAAATGGTCTGTATCAGCTTTCTTGCTGATTAATGTGGAACCATGATTTTGCAGGAGGCAATACCCTTTCCCGCCTAAAATAAGACATACCCATAAAATAAGCCATAGCAGGATATCTAAGCATTTGCACAATATAAGACATAGTGATAGCCGTGGCTATGCACCACACAAGGTCGGTTCCCCCATCAGGTCCCGGTCATTCTGTGTATGCTGCAAGCTGAGGCATATAGGGAGACATAGAAAGTGACAATAAAGGTCTCTTCAGTGAAGTGAGGAGCAGGCAGCTCTGCTTTAGGTATTGTGTGTCCTCAGGAGGAAGAAGTAAAGCTGTGGCTGCCGTTTTACTCAGCTTGCTGGTTGGTACTGGTCTCTCTCCCAGCAACAACCAGCAACAATCTCTGGGTTTCTCTCCCCCCCCCCCCCACATACACCAGTAAAGCTGCTGTGCCTCAGCACTGACAGCAACAGTCTGTGGGTCTCTCTCACCCCACACAAACACCAGGGGATAGGGGAAAAGCTTCAGCAACCAATCTGCTACTGATCCCAGAGAGATCATTCCATAAATGCAGATTGTTGTACCATACCTAATACAAATAAAACATCCCCTGAAAATAAGCCATAGTGTGTCTTCTTGAAGAACGATAAATATAAGACAGTGTCTTATTTTCAGGACAACACGGTACACCTTCTTCCGCCACTGTGTGTGATTTTCTTGATTTTGCTGTTAGCTGAGAAACTTCAAATGAGACGGTTGCTGCACTGAGATTTCAGACCCCAAACCTGAGACCTAGGCTCCTTCTACACTGCCATATCAAATCCATATTATCCACTTTGAACTGGATTATATGGCAGTGTATTCTCATATAATCCAATTCAAATCAGACAATCTGGATTGTTTGCTTTGATAATCTGGATATGTTAGTGTAGAAGGGAACTAAGGAACCAACCCCTGATAATTCCCAAGTAGGATTCTTCTTTAAAAGCTCCATTGGATCCATTTCTTCAGCAATAGATTTATTAGGTGCCCCCCCCCCCCCAAATTTACCAACAACCACAGGGGGTAGGTGTATTCCAGTCTTCATTGAGTAAGATGTTTCATAATCATGTAGGAGAAGGGAGAGGCAGGAAGAATTGATATTTAAGTCATGTCTTTTACATGTTGCTGTCATATAGTATCTGCATTCTTGCTCCTGGGCATATGGGGGGCACCAATCAAAGGTAAATCTCCATTCTAAAAACACATCTCTGTTTTCTTTGCAGATATTACATTGGACAAATATAATCAAGATATGGCTGTTTTGGGCGGAATTCTGGGGAGTTTGCTGGCAATTACACTCGTGCTACTCGGATTGATCTCCTATAAATACTACAAATTGAAAAATGCACCTGGAGAAGATGACAGCAGCGTATGTGGGCCACTGATGCTTGTTTATTTGGGGGAAGCCCCATCCAAATATTAAAAGAAGTCTTAATGCCAAGAATAGGATGGGATTGTTGAGAAGTTGGTCATGGTTTATTTTGCTAGCTTTCATCTTCGTGTTGTAACAAAATCAGAGAAGAAATTCTGTTTATGCACCATGTAGAGGGAATGCCACAAGAAAAGCAAACTGACAGCTTCCCTGGCAATGCAAGGGATTATGCTGAGAAGAATAGTTGAGATAATGTCTTACATCTTCTGCAGCTACATTACCAGATGGTTTCTTAGTTCATCAAAAGTGACAAAATATGGGCACCATTCAAAAACCTGCAGTGGGTTAAACCACTAAGCTGCAGAACTTGCTGACCATAATTTGCTGGGTTGGGTGAGCTCCCATTGTCAGCCCCAGCTTCTGCCAACCTAGCAATTTGAAAATATACAAATGTGAGTAGATCAATAGGTACCGATTCAGTGAGACAGTAACAGCGCTCCATGCAGTCATGCAAGTCATATGACCTAGGAGGTGTCTACAGACAACACTGGCTCTTCAGCTTAGAAATGGAGATGAACACCAACCCCCAGAGTTGGACACGACTAGACTTAATATCAAGGGGAAATCTTTACCTTTACTCAAAAACATCCATGCATACCTTCTTTGTTTTAATTGAAAAAGGTGCTGTAGAATAAAAGTGAGGTATATTTCCCAGCGGGTGGTTAAATTCAGTTAACAGAGTATTGTTTTGAATGACCAAATTTTGTCAAACCAAAATGGAAAATGTTGAGTGGATACCCAGTAGCCACAGTTAAGCTTTTATTGAGTAACCTATAAGCCTGCTCCCTTAAAAACCTGCCATTTTCTATTTACAGCTTTGATCTTTAGTAGGAAGCATGGCCATGTAGGCTGGGGATGTGCTGGAGGATCCCAGGTTGGGAAAGGCTGCTATAAGGCTGGATCTACACTATCCCATATCCCAGGAACTGATCCCAGATTATCTGCTTATTGCAGATTATCTGGCAGTGTAGAGTCATATAATACAGTTCAAGCAGATAATCTAGGATCAGATCCTGGGATATAGGGCAATGTAGATCCAGCCTAAGGTTTTCATGTTAAGGCCCCATAGTTCCACTCTGTACATCTAAAAACAATCATTTTATGCAGATACTTCCAAAGTCTCAATAAAGGGGGAAACCCTGATTTCATCTATACAGAAGAAAAATCTGTCACCCATCTGTCAGGGGTGATTTGAATGCAATATTCCTGCTTCTTTAAGGAGGATGTTGACAAGCTGGAATGTGTCCAGAGGAGGGCAATTAAAATGATCAAGGGTCTGGAGAACAAGCCCTATGAGGAGTGGCTTGAAGAACTGGGCATGTTTATCCCGCAGAAGAGAAGGCTGAGAGGAGACATGATAGCAATGTATAAATATGCGAAGTCATAGGGAGGAGGCTTGTTTTCTGCTACCTTGGAGACTAGGAAATGGAACAATGGCTTCAAACTCTAGGAAAGGAGATTCCATCTGAACATTAGGAAGAACTTTCTGACTGTGAGAGCTGTTCAGCAGTGAAACTCTCTGCCCCGGAGTGTGATGGAGGCTCCTTCTTTGGAGGCTTTTAAACAGAGGCTGGAGGACCATTTGTCAGGGGTGCTTTGAATGTGATTTTCCTGCTTCTGGGCAGGGGGTTGGACTGGATGGCCCATGAGGTCTCTTCCAACTCTTTGATTCTATGATTCTATGAAATAGCAAATCCTTAGTTCTTTTTATTGTAACCCTCCTGCCTCAGGATGCATCTATACTGTAGACCTGATGGCTGAATACTATGGAATCCTGGGACTTGTAGTTTGATGAGGCACCAGCACTCTTTGGCTGAGAAGGATACAGACCTTGTAAAACTAAAACAACCTTGATTCCATGCCATGGAGCCTTGGCAGCTAAAGTGGTGTCAAATTGCATTAATTTGATAAGGTAGATGCAGCTCAAGTGTATTTCTTATCCTTCTTTGTTTTTTGTTTTTTTTATAGATGAGCAAAATTAGTGGGAAAGTGCTCTAGCTGCTGATTTAAATGTCAGTAGCTATTATAATATGACATATGTGAAATTCAAATCAAAAGAAAGAATAAATATGGCTAATAGTTATTAAAGATTATGAGCCCTCTTTTCAGCTTTCTAAATACCCTGAAAGTACGAGATCCTTTCTGATCTTGGAAGCTAAGCAGTGTCAGCCCTGGCTAACATTTGGCTGGGAGATTTGCGATGGTTACAAAGGTGCTCTAGGCTACATTTCAGAAAGAACTGCCAAATATACCTCTGAATATTCCACACCTAAGCAAACACTGTGTGAGTCATGGAGTTGCCATAAGTCAAAGGGCACACACATTAGGCCCCATCATTTTAAAGATATGTGATTGTCCAATGTATATCTCAGTCAGAGCTTGCAGGCATTACTCCTAAAATCATCAGCATAGCTATTCTTTTCCAAAATCTAGTCTGAACTTCTTTGCCTTCTTTGCAACTATGAAAACCTGTGTCCTTCTTTTGCAGTTTACTGGAGGTTTTACCAATGAGATCTATGAAAATGGTGAGCAACCTAACTTTGATGGAAAGGGTGATGAGCTGCCAGCAAACGTAGAGGTTGAACATGACAGCCCAAGTCCTTCAGCTCCTTTGGAGAAGAGCGTGGAAGTCAGCTTGGCATCAGCCCCCTCTGAAAAAATTGAAAACGAAGAGGCTGAACATGACAGCCCAGGTCCTTCGGCTCCTTTGGAGAAGAGCATGAAAGTCAGCTTGGCATCAGCCTCCTCTGAAGCAATTGAAAACGAAGCTAAAAATGAGGACAGTGAAAAGGAAGTGAAGTCCATCCTCACAAAAGACAGGCGGGTGGCAGATGATGGCTACAAATCAGTGTGGTTCAAAGAAGACATTGACCCAGATGCCAAGGATGATGTTTTAGTGATTGGAGATGAACGAAACAGAATTGATAGTGATGATGATAGTAATGAAGAGGAGGAGGAGGAGGGAAATGGTAGCGGCAGAGGTGGCACTGATGTTGCCATCATTCCAGGAAGAGCTCAACTACCAGAGGATCAATCTCTTTTAAGTGGATCTTTTGAGAATAAGGAAGAAAACAGCATTTATTTGTAAAGTTAACAAAGTAAAATGTCATTTCCTTGTGTCTTTCAATGTATATCCTGACTACGGTTTTTACAGCTGTTTGTTGAATGGTTGAATTCTACTCAATTCATGTGAAACATAAGCTACGTGTAATCTTGTATCAGAGAATATGGGAACAAATCATCCTTCTCCAAATATAAATCTGATCAGAGGGATGTTTTCGGGAATAATTATGTTCAAGATAATAGGCATGGGCAATCCATGGTTTTAAATGGTTCTAAAGTACTTTAAAAATAAGAGAGTGCTGGTGCTTTGCTTTTACAGTGTTGCTAAAGTTCTGGTGGTGAAAATTTCAGAACTCTAAAAAAAACTTTCAAAATTTCGTTATAAATGGCACTTGCTAATTGGTTCTGTCATAAAAATTGCCAATAATGAAATAATAATGAAATTTTGAAAGTTTTGTTAGAGTTCTGAAATTTTCACCATCAGAACTTTAGCAACACCGTAGAAGCAAAGCACTAGTCCCACCCAGTTTTGTAATTATTTTAGAACCATTTAGAACCATGTATTGCCCATGCCTACAAGATAAGTATGATCATAATTTATATATAAGGAGCACCCAATGGCACAAGGGGTAAAACCTTTGTGCTGGCAGGACTGCAGAACGACAGGCCACAGGTTTGAATCCGGGTAGAGCGTGGATGAGCTCCCTCTGTCAGCTCCGGCTCCCCATAAAAAGTCGCTCCTGACGCAGAAAAAAATAATAATATATAGTGTCCAGCATCAACCCAAGCCCTTTTGGCGAACCTCGTGCAGAAAATCCCCATTTCCCACATGAACCAGGAAGTTCATGATAGAACAAGTACTTTTTTGGCAAGCACCCTCTAAGCAAGGGTTATTGATTTACGTTAAGTAATAGTGGTTATTCTCATGTGACAACTTTTCTAATATGAGACTGGTAGTGAATGGTGTAGGGTTGGTTAGCCTTTTGATATCCGTGTGCTAGTCTTCTGACAGAACCCAACATTTGAAAGAGTAATTTAGCATTGCAGTGAGCTGTTCAATAATTAAATCTGGAATAGCAATTATACAGAAGTATTCATTTAAACCAGGAGAAACATAGCACCCAATTATGGGATTACTGTTTTTAAAGAACATTGTCATTATATGAGAGCCAGTGCATTGTAGTAGTTTGAGCATTGAACTACAACTCTGGACACTATGGCTCGAGTCCCCATTTGCTCATGGAAATTCATTGGGTGACCTTGCACGAATCCCACACTCTCAGCCCTAGAAAATCCTATGAGTGGTTCGCCTTAGGGTTTCCGTGAATTGGAAACAATCTGAAGGTACACAACAACAATATTATAGTCTACTGGATGCACTTGGGTGCAAGAGCCATGGTTTTAGCTTCTTCCTTTAGACAAGTTTCCCATTCTCAGCTGTGGTTACTCAACTTTAATAAAGTACTAGTGGCATCTGGTATGGGCCTGGGCTGTGGAATTTTCATTTAGATAAGTAGCAGCATTTCTTTGTTGAATAGCTTTATGATGTTGGTTGTCTTCATATAATAGTTTATTCTTCAAGGAAATTATATAAAACCTTGCACTTGATAATATAAAAGCTGAAGTCGTCCATTCAATTCTATTAAGATATATACCAAGTACTCCTTTGAAATGACTAAATAGCATGGAAAGAAAAATAGCACGTCTCTATCTTGTAGGTGTGATTCATTTCAGAATGATGATATAGTGACACAGAAAGAGAATGCTGCAGTTATCTCAAAAAGAAAAGAAATACAGCAATAATTGACAAAGTGTCAAAAAGGAAAATATTTTCTCAATTTTTAGAATTGCTCTTCAGATAAAAATTATTAATAAAAGAAAATAAAAATGGATAAATAGTGGACTTATTTGTTTATTTGTTTATTTATTGCAACAGAACAGGGAGTAAAGAGGGCCCCATCCTTAAAGAAACTAAGCTATCCGATGGTACATTAAAAAAGGCTTTGAGAAATTGGAATAATGATAACCATTTAATAACAAACAGCTGGGTAATTGGGAGCAATGTAGCATCTGAGGATGGGGCTGAGAGGGAAAGATTGGAAAGGAGAACGCTCATCACATTAGAGAAGGAATCCACTTTAAATATGGTTGCTGCCTCCTGCAGAATTCTGGGGTTTGTAGTTTTGGGATGAGCATTTAAAAGGAGCCCCCAGTGGCCCAGTGTATTAAAGCATTAAGCTGCTGAACTTGCTGACGGAAAGTTCGCACATTCAAATCTGTGGAGCAGGGTGAGCTCCCGCTGTTAGCCCCAGCCTCTGCCAACCTAGCAGTTCGAAAACATGCAAATGTGAGTAGATCAATAGGTACTGCTCCAGCGGGAAGGTAACGGCACTCCATGCAGTCATGCCGGTCACATGATCTTGGAGGTGGACAGCGACAGCTCTTCGGCTCAGAAATGGAGATGAGCACCAAGCCCAGAATAGGACATGACTGAACTTCATATCAGGGGAAAACCTAACCCTTTAACAGCTTCACTAAACTACAAACCCCAGAATTCTGCGGGAGGCAGAAACCGGATTTAAAGTGGATTCATTCTCTAGTGCAACGAAGTAACTGAAGCCATGCATATTGCTCTTGAGCCTGTCTGATAAGAAGACAAATACATATTTTTGAGTATTTTTTAAGCTTTCTGGGCGACGTTGGTGGACTCTTTGTTAATGTTTTATTTGGAGAAGTAAAGACCACGGAAGTAGACTGATCTGTGACACTTATATAAAATACATTTTTTTAAAGATCAGTAATTGGCCTTTAATCTAATTGTGACAGCAAGAGGGGAAAGCAGAGAGATACCGCAGACAAGCGACTTCAGTTATCAAAGAATAGATGAATAATTTGTTTCCGCAGCAAGTTGACAAGTTGTGTTTGAATTAACGAAGGTAGACAAAAGATTAATATATTCTCTGTAAGACAGACTGCAAATGTCAATTAGAGGGAGAGAAAATAAATTAACATCTAAATCAGGCCAATTATTTAGACTTTCTGTGATAATTATGTGAATATAATGCTTATTGGCTAGTGTTCATTTTAGAAAATATAAGCTACCTCTGTATTAAGCTTCCACAAATACAAATTCATTAAAGTATATTTTGAAATATAAATTTTGCGAAGAGTGGTGCGCATGGAGATTCCACACTTGCTGAACTAGCTGCATGCTAATGTCCCATATCTGTCCTATAAATGGATCTGGAATCATGTTTTGATTTTACTTTTTTAATGAAAAAATCTGATGAGTCATATTTGTCATTGGCCTATGCAAAATCTAGCCACAGTCCAATTTCAGTGCAAACAGAGAGGTACCAACAGAGGATCTTTAAAGGGAGGATGTAGTACTGTTGTGTGCTTTAAAGTCCTTTCTGACTTATGGTGATCCTAAAACAAGTGTATCAATATTTCTTTGGCAATATTTCTTTGGAGGGGGTTTGCCATGGCCTTCCACTGAGGTTAAAAGAGTCTGCCTTGCCCAGAATCACCCAATGGGTTTCCATAGTTTGACCTGAGTGGAGATCTGAACCTTGTTCTCCAAAGTCCTAGTCAAACACTCAGACCAATACACCAATCTGGCTCACCGGTGACATTGAACAGTATCAGGACAGCCTAGTTTATTCTCAGTGCAAGTTATCACGTGTGGTTGAGTGAATCTCAGGCCAGGAAGTGGTGAACCCACTAACATCGCCACAAAAAAATCCCCACTTTCAAAGTGTCTGGCACCACATGATGTTCTGGCTTTGAGAGAACTGGTCATATTCCAAATGTCTCACCCTGAGGGAAATTCTTTTGCACAGCAAAACGTTGGTGTATTGCTCTTGAAATCATAATCCTTGTCTACTACATATTCAAAGTGTTAATAATAATAATAATAATAATAATAATAATAATAATAATAACAGTAATTTTATTGTATTGTCGAAGGCTTCCATGGCTGGAATCACTGGGTTGTTCTAGTTTTTTTGGGCTATATGGTCATGTTCTAGAAGCATTCTCTCCTGATGTTTCGCCTGCATCTATAGCAAACATACTCACAACCTCTGAGGATGCTTGCCATAGATGCAGGCGAAATGTCAGGAGAGAATGCTTCTAGAACATGGCCATATAACCCGAAAAACCAACAACAACCCAGTAATTTTATTTCTTATCCACCTCACCTTGTGACTCCAGGTGGATCAAAGCACAGTCAAAACACACAAACATTGCAAAAATTCTATAAGCGCACATATTAAAATGTAGTTCTATAATGCATATCAAAACATATTCTATATAATACATATGAAATACACAGGACAGAGATTAAGATACAGGACACGAATTTAAAATTCATTATTTAAACTGTCTTTGAGTTGAAAAAGGGCCTGTATCCACTTCTGGGCCAACCCTGGGGCAAGCTGTTTGGCCTCAAGACAGCACATATGCCTGACAGGTGTCTCATGAGGCTTCAGAGTGACATAAGGGTGTCATTCATGTTAGAGAGCAGAACATCTTCTACGTATTCCTACTAATTCTCCTAGCTGTCTCCCTTCCCTGCTTCCAGTGAACAGCTTGATAGCAAATTTCTCCCTGAGCTGCTTTGTGTGACCCTGCCTTTATAATCCCCCTCAATATCTCACAAGTGAAAACTCGGACATGTAGCCCAGCAATGTAGAGTGTGGTCAAGATGGGCAAAGATGTTAATGAGGAAGAATACACATGTTAGGAGAGCCTGCAGCAGCAGGATGGTTTCAGGAAACGTGCATGCTTTCCTTGGGTTATGTGATGACTTCATGTGTAGAATAAGATTTGTTTCATTTGCCTGAATCAAAGAAAAGTAATTCTGTATGTGGAAAGGAGGGAGAACGCTATCTCAACCTTTGTACTCAAGCAGCAGAGTCCCTTGAGTCAGCCGTAGCCATCACTGTGCAACAAGAGAGATAAGAGAAAAGAGGAATAAACAGAGTCTCCTCACTTATCATTAACTCCTTCAGTATTAGCTCCCCTCCCTGAGCACAGCGAGTGACTATGGCAGTCTTTGGCATATGGGAGGACTGGGT